GTACGGAATTCAACTACTAGACTCAGGCATCGACGAGAAATACCATCAACTGTGAACCAGGGACTGATTATGACAGCAAGAAATACCATAACGAAGCAACCTTGGATTTCCACAACGACCTTAAAGTTACGCTACAGAAGGATTGATGCCAAACAGGTAACCTTACAACAGCAATGATGAAACAAAGGCAGAACATCACCATTTGATAAACGGAGTATTTGGCTCGCGGAAGCAGCACCACAAACCTAAAATCGTATCATTTCTCGTGCCCTCTGCGAACATTGTGAGTTCAGCTACTGAGGCCCATGGCGCCGAGTCTAGGCAACGATGACATAAACACGCGTACTTTCATTATTTCTACTCTTAGTAAGAAATCTTCTGACTTCACATGATCAGTTACTGCTGACAACCATTTCACGACCCACGACCTACCGTCTGAATACATTACCCTGAAGGACTGTTACCTTGAAGGAGCTATGGGTTGAACATTGATACCGGTCCAGTTACATTGTGTAGTAATGTAACCACCGCCAGGCCTACCAGCGGATGGCAAAACTTCATGCGCAACACAGTTTTGAATCCGGCGCGACCCACCACCGGCCGGTTCAGGTAATAATAAATTATTTTTGTTTTGCCAGTATGACTACCAACGCAGGAACAGAATGTTTTATCAGTGAATTTACCGTTACTAGCACTGATATGATGATAGCAGTGTTACTGTTATTACTTTTGCACTCTCATAGTGATAGGAGTAATAATTATATTGCGTCCAGTAAGTTAGTACGAGGGTAACCATTGCTATGGCAGTGCTAATTGCTGTAGTAAAGATTTTAGTTGATGTATTGGTCACATTGCGTGTCAAAGGCACTGTTTTTACCGTTATTGGCACTGTCGTTGTTACTAGTACGGTAGTACAAGTAACAGTAGTAATAGTGCATCTGCACAGTATTTTTGTTGTTAATACTGATAATTATAAAATTTTAAGAAATGGTATTTAGAGTGCTATTGACTAAAGTTTAGTTTTTGTATTATGTACTTTTAGACGTCCTCGTCGCCTCACTACGTAATGCTGATAAATTCACGGCACTGAGTGCGAATGAAGTAGAAGATATGTTTCGTGCGGTTCAGAAGGTACAGAAGGTGTTGGAGAAATATTATAAAGTTTCATCGAGTTCGGTTGTGATTCAGGACGGTCCGCATGCCGGACAGACAGTGAGAGTAAGCCTTCGTTCGTTAACGAACTATTGTTAGCAAAGAGTAAGGTAGACGTTTATTTTACTTCTGACTTTTAGCATGTTCACGTCCATATATTGCCACGTAGACCGAACGACTTTCCGAACAACGACGAAATTTATAGCGAAGTAAGTAACCATTGGGTTTACTTAATTTTATAACAAGAATGGAACATTAAGTTATAAGTGGATGCAACTTTTATGCACTTCATAGAATCATGATTTGTAAGCTGATTTATTACCTGAACAAATAGGCTAAACAGAGCATAGTAGTAATCTGGCACACTTCAATGGTTTTATCCACAGCGAATT